AGGGCGCGAGGTTGCCCAATCCCGTAGCCCCATTGTCAAGTCTGATCTCATCGATCCACACATTCTCCTTTCCAACGCCCTTATGAAGAACAAGAAAGACAGCCTCCATTGAGCTTCGAATCGGCAAGAACCTTAGAATGAAGCTTGCGACTGGGCCGATCGCAAAGGCACATCAGGCTTCGGAGGATGAGACCAGCAGCTCACAGCAGCGCAAACATCGCTGCTAACAGTAACGGTGCAGACAATCGTCATCATCCCGAAATCCCTAAACTCTTCCTGGCTGTCAGGCGAAAGAAACCTTGCATAGGTGGGTTTTTGTTAGCCATGACTCGCTGCATCCAGCGAAGGCAGCTCAAAAGATGCCGTCTGGCTCCTGCACCGATGTGAGTCTTCGGGAAGTGATTTTGCAACTCCGGCTCTGAAAGTCTCAGGCCTTAGATTTCGACTTCGTGGCATTTTCTCGGGCGCATCGTGCTGGGTCTGTGTCAGCCCGGGCCTTTGGCTCTGGCACATACCGGAAGGAAGGTTCGGCGGGGAGGAGAAAAATGCGCAAATTCACTGAAGAACCCAGTCCACTTCCTTGAACTTGCTTACACACCCCCATATCCTATCAATAGCTACTACGACTTTCAAAGCCCAAGGCCCGTGTGGGCCCAGAGGAGACGGGGACCGGTTTCTGCGCCAGAGCAGTGATGTGAAGTCGCCACTTCTGCTTCGCAGAAGTGAACTCGGACCGAATTCGGAATCTGAACACTTCTTGGGTGAGGAGATTCACTCAGAAAGGCGGGGCATCCTCGGTCTGACGGGGCGACCCGGGACGTCCCGGCACCTGAACGTTTAGGAGCTTGCTGGAGATGCCAGAGCCTGGGGAGGGGCACGGAGCCCGGGACCGGTCCAAAGAAGGATCCCGTGGTTTTCTGCCACCGTCCCGGTCATCTCGGCCCATTGCTTTTAGCTCTTTCTGAAGGCCAGCGAGCTGGGAGCTGCTCCGCCTCAGGGCCTCGAGCAGCTGAGAGTTCTGGTCCTTCACGTCGCTGACCAAGTTTTGAACCGCCTTGGTGGCTAAGAGTGATGCTACCGTGTCGCTCTTGTTCACCTCTCCGCGGATCTTCAACAGGCCCTGCAGCAGCTCCGTGGTCTGTAAGGTCCCACTACCATCGGCATCCAACATCTCGAATAGGTTGGCGCGATCCGGCGGCAGATCGAGGTCATCCATCAGTTGCTGAACTTTTCTGTCCTGGATCACCAACAAGAAAAGCTCCTTGGTAATGGCCACCTCATCGTGCATGCCGTCCTCCGCGAAAGTAGCGGCAGATGGATATTTCATAACATCATCTTCCGCAGTGTTGTTGCGGAAAGAGTGGTACGCTGCACTGAAGATCTTGAGAAGCTCCCGCGTCGTCCGGGCGACCCGGATGGACTCCCGCGCGTGCTGCTCGGCACTGACAGCATCGTTCTCCTTGGCCGCTTTCATGGTGATGTCCACGTAAACTGCAAGGATTACATTGAAGATGCCCATGGCTACCAACATGTAGCTTGCGACGTAGCCGGCAACAAAGATGACGCCATACTCAGCAGCGAGTAGGGATGGGAGAGGCCGGCCATCATCACTGACACACTCACCTGTAAAACACCGGAAGGCTGTGAACATGGATATAGGGATGTTGAAGAAGTAGCTCCCGAGACCAATCTCTATGGTTTTCTCTGCGTTCCCGATGGTCATAGTAGCGAAGCCTGCGATCACGTAGAGGACTGCGAACAGCAGCACGAAGGCAAGAGACCTTCGATGATGATGAACTCTACGATGTCGCTAGACAGGGGCACAAGAACAGCACTAACGCATCACTACTAAGAAAGAGAAACTTCGCACTAGAACGTCCGAAGGCAAGAGGCAGGGTTCGGATACCTGCCAGCAAGCCCTTCACCATCAGGCGCAGTTCCCTCATAGCCTTCACTCGAAAAACCTTGACGATACGGATGAGGCGGATCAGCCGGCAGAAGCGAAGCAGGGACGTGCCCTCCAGGTCCGACGCAAAGCCTGCCAACTGCAAAGCGACATCCGACCAACTCGTCACCGCAAGGAAAACATCGAAGATGTTCCACCAGCGATCAGCCCCACACCAATAGGCGCCACAGCGAAGCACGCAAAGGCGAAAGCAGATCTCTGCGACCAGGAACAGTGCGAAGATTATCTCCACGTAGATCCAGCCTGGCCACTCCTTGTAATACGGGTCAGTTTGGAAGCCGACCATGACGCCGTTGCCGAAGATGATCAAGGCAACGAAAGGCTCGAGGTACATTATGGGATGCATCGGCTCCGGAGGAGTGGCCAGGTCGTTGATTCTGACAAAAGTCAATTCTGCCACCAAGCGGTTCGTATCCCCTGCGAGCAGAATCTCTCGAATGGCCCTGTACTGGTTCAACTTGTACCCGAAGATGTGCTTGTGCACCTCTGACTCCTGTGAAAGGAAGATCTCCAGCAACGGGACTGCTGGGACGCAGTTGTATTCAACGTGGTCGCCTTTTCGTTCGTGAGTGGCGTGTCCACCAGTCTTCTCTGCTGCAGGCCAGGCCCACGTGGGCTTGCCAAGCTTTGCCACATCTGTGGAGGAATTCTCCCCGAAGCTGAACAAGGAGTTCAGGGAGGACAGAGAGCTTTGGCTTCCCCTTGGCTTCTGGACCAGGCGGAACTTAAGACCGATGAAGTCGCCAAGAAGGTTCACGAACTCGTTCATGTCCTCCTCGCCGTATATCGTCAGGCCCAGGGCCTGAACAGCATCTCTCAAGATCCGGCCTGAGACAAGCTGCTTGGAGTTCAAAATCCCCAGGCGCAACCTCAGCCGATTTCGGACCGACTCCGTCTCTTTGGGGCCTAAACCTTGAAGCCCACTCTTCAGATAGGGGCAGGTCAGAGTGTACTCCTCGATCTCACTAAAGCGGCGTTGCTTCGCCGGTATTTCTCCAGCATCGTTAGCCACAGGTTCTTCGTTGCTCGGCTGCCCTGTTGCCTCCGTTGGGGTCTCTGTTGGGGCCTCTGCTGGCTCCTCTACTCGCACCTCCGTGGAAAGTCGCGAGGACTGCGATGCGGCATAAGCGTCAAGCAGTTGCTGCCGGAAGTCCTGCCAAGAGCTGTCGAGATGGCGCTCGAAGGAAGTCCGGTCCTTGAGCTCAGGAGCTTGTTGAAGATCTTCCATGGCTCCACGCGCACAGCTCGGACACGAGCTGCGGCTTCGAGAGAAAGGGGCAGGAACTTTGGATTTAGGGATAGCCTTTTCGACACCGAGTGTGTTGTGAACTCACCAGCTGACTCGTCCTGAGCGTAACTCGTCCCAGCCTGCAAATTTGGGCCAAATCGATTTCGGGCTCAAGGTTCGACTGTAGCAAACAAGGATGCACAACTGGAACACATAGTACCAGTAGACAGCTTTGACATTCGATGCAGCTTTGCACGGCTTGCTCTTGAGCATCTCAATGCCCATCAGGCACCATGAGATTCCGCTGCCACACAGCGTTCCCCGAGTCATGAACAGGATGTGCTCTCGACGCCTAAGATGGATCCAAAATCCGTGGGTCCTTTCAGCTTCCTGCGTCTCCTCCACCACGCGCACGGCTTCCTGCTCCTCGGCCGAGAAGCAGCTGTCCATTTCATCCATCATCATCACCAGCATCATCGACAACCATCAATGAGCTCTTCTGCCCTCTTCATCGAAGAAATAAGAAATAGAAAGACAAAAAATATCCCCCAAGGCGAGGAGAATCCTCCTTCTCTCGTTCTATGCTCTCCCTACCAGAAAGCTGCTCGCTTGGTTCCAGGACCTCTGCATTTAGACCTATGCTCTGCAACCCATGCAATACTTCGAAAACCTCACCCTGGATCCTTCCAAAGCCGACCCTCAGCAAACAGCTCCACAACTTGGCGTGTAAGCCAAGGCCTGGATTTCCTGCTGGAGGGACTCAAGCTCTTCCTGGCGCTACGACGGTCACTGCCGGAGCCAGGCAACCGGGCAGTTCTTTTTGCATCTGGTTTGCAGCGACTCAGCCAGGACAGAAACCGGGCAGTTCTTGTAGACTCCTCTCTGCCTAAAACCCAGAGAACCCACCTGCAGGTCGCGCTCTTCCATGGTTGTCTTCCTTGGCTGAAGACTTGACGTCTCGTGTTTGTGCATACTGCCCACTTTGGCAATCGTAGTTGTCGTGAACCGGATGCCTCGCATGAGTAGGCCGTCGGCACTTTTTCTGTGTCGTGTGGGGTACGTAGCCTGTGGATGCCTGCGGGGATTTACCGTTCAGCTCACTCATCGCCGAGGCGCTGCCGGTCCGCGATCTCGCTGAACAGTGCCGCAGTCCTGGCCTTCAGTGCGTCGCGATCATCAGTCGTCGGCCCGTCCATGCTCTGCTTCTTCAGGCCTTAGCCATGGGGGAACAGGACGCACTTTCACATGCCATCGGCACGCTTGGGAAGCCCCGTGTGCTTCAACCTGGTCAAGAACACAGTGGTGGAAGATTCCATACTAGACACGGCCGAAGCCTCATAGAACTTGCACGGCTAGTTTTGCCATTCGGAAAGAATGTCAGAAAGCTATCAGAGGGCTCCAGTGCCTTTGCGACCCTTGTGGGAGCGCAGCAACCACCGGATTTCATCCTTCTTGGCGAAGTCCAGTGGTGTGGCACCTGCGGTGTTAGTGGCATTTGCATCTGCGCCGCTCTGCAACAGAAGCCCGGCAAGCTCAGCATCCCCGAGTTTCACTGCCAAGTGGAGCGGCGTCTCGCCATCATAGTCCCGGTTGTTCACATCCCCCTTCCACATCAGAAGGACTTGCACAACCTCCAACTCGGCATAGCCTCCAGGCACCACATGCAGGGCACTCTCCCCGTCGTTGGAGCGCGCTGCGGGGTCCGCCCCCCGCTGCAGCAGGCTCTCCACCAGCTCCCCATCTCCCCACCTCGCTGCCTCGTGGAGTGGACACCACCCATCGTTGTCGGCCAGGGTGACGCTTGCACCCCAACTTAGCATCAGCTCACACAGCTCCCGATCCTTGAAACGCACAAGCGTCAGGAAGGGAATCAAAGTTCACTTCCGACCTATAGCTACGAGGTGCTACCGCGATTAGCCTGTCCTTCATCGGCTGAATCACTGAAGGCCGCATCCGACAACCGCTGTGAATAACCAGGACTGCCTCCTTCTTCATGGATTACGAATTACGAATATAGGGCGCTGACCGAAATTTAGCAAGGTCGCGCCAAAGCGCGCTGCCTTGTGCAATGGGCTCTCGCCATCTGCATCCTGCAAGTTCACCTTGGCCCAGGCTTCTCACAGTTGGGGGACGAAGACTCGCATCGCTGCCACGCACAGGAAGCAAACCTATGCTGGCATGATCCCAGTCGCATTGGCTTTCTGAAGCAAGAGGACACTGCAAACCTCCAAGTGGCCATTCGAGGCCGCGAGGTGCAAGGGCGTCCGCTGTTTCGCAGTGCCAGTGGTGTCTCCAGGCGCACCCCACTGCAGGAGGAGCTCCACGGCTTCTTGCTGACCTTCCTGTGAAGCCAGGTGCAGAGGTGTGTGGCCACTGTCATCCGTAGATGCCAGCTCTACGCTGCACTGCAGCAAGAACTGCAGGCACTCTACATGCCCACGTTTGGCCGCGAGGTGAGCAGGGGTGCTACCGTCCACATCTCGCTGGCTAAGCATCGCTGCACCGTGCTGCTGAAGGACCTGCTGAAGGCAGGCCAAATCGCCATTTTCTGCTGCATCTTGCACAGCTTGGCTAAAGCCTCCTTCCCGTAATGATGCAGAATCGGCTGTGCCAAGCCTTTGCGTGTATTGCTGAGGACTAGTCTCCTCTGCAATGTCTGCATCGAAAAACTGATCCGATGCAGCACCCTGCGGGTGCCCAGCAGTGAGTGACACCATGCCGGAGCGGGTAGCATCGAACTCATCCAAATGACGCTCGCGCAAGTGCTTGTGCACAAACTCCGGCCCGCGAAAGAGTTTCAGACCTCGAGTTCGGCCGACGGATACTAGACTTACTAGACCGCCGTGACAAGATCTTATGCTAGCGCTCGAGACTGAACCGCTCCTGTGTTGCAGGCGTTCTTTCTATCAGAAGCTTCCTTATCAATGTTTGGACCCCTAGAACGGCACTCATCAGCTCCTCGCACATGTCATTCCGAAATGGAATCCCGGGCCCTGAACTCAAAAAGTCAAAGCCATCTGCCCTTCAAGCCCAGCGGCAGACGAGGCAGCGGAACTTCGAGTCACCGACGGGCCTAGGCCGAGTCCGGGAGCGAGCACAAGGCATCAAAGTTTCGGGGCGGGTCTGCGAAATCAACATATAACCAGTGATGACATGTGTCAGTTTATTGGCATTGTTCTGCAAAACTTTGGCTTGAGAAGCTGATCACAGAGATTCCTGTGCATCAACTCCTTGGCTCTCAGTGCTTGAAGGGTGCGGTATGGGTTGCTTTGAAGGATGTGTGCAAGACTGGCTGGCCACCTTGCAACACGCCTGTGCAAGAATACGTCCGTTTGGGAGCCGCTACATGCATTTGCCTGGCTACGCCTGTGCCCGCTACATTCATTCGGAGGGCTGCTGCATTTTCTGTCTATCTCTTGTTCATTCACCTCTGTGTGCCTGTACACTCGACCCCACCACCAATCTTGAGGGTTCTTGGTCTTTAGCTGTCGGCTTCGGGACGCTACTGTAACATGCTGCGTCATGTTACCGCGAGCTAATTGAGCCTGCCAAGCGCCCTGAAAGCATGGAAGTCCCCTGTGTCAGGAAGGCGCGAGGGCCTGGACTCTGGACATCCACGACCATGCTGAAAACCCCTTCGTGAGGCGGTGCATCTTCCTTCACGGCATGAAACATAGCTACATCCGACTTGAAAACATCACCCATGCTTTGTGGCCAATGCAACTCGCATGCTGCGTTCGTGCAGCGCAGAATTCCTCGAACTCCCTCTCTTTCCGCTGCTCCTCAGAAGTTTGAGATCTTGGTGCTTTTGGCCAACAGGCCCACGGCTCCGGCTGAGCCAAACTAGTTCGTGGTCTTGTTTGGGTTCGCAGTTCACTGGCGGAGTTTTTGGTAGCTGGCTTGACATGAGACACATACCGTCCCTGATAGCTTTATTGGTGGTTTTGGGGATTTCGGCATATAGCTCAAGGTGTGCGTTGAAGGTTCACCGGAGGGTTGGGGGTTTGATTCTCTGTCGACGACTGCAAAAGCGAGCCAAATGTAGTCCATGAAAATTGGAGAACAAAAATGAAACGGATGCAGTGGATCCCTAAGGCAAGGGATTTGGGATCTGGCATGTGGATGAACCCAGGGAGCGTGGGATCCAATTCATTATTGCATGAAGGCTGAGGTAAGCCATCGCTGTCACAAATAGTCTGTCTCCCTGTCTTGCTGCACGACCTTTTCTCTTGGTCATCATCATGCTCACACTATGCCAGCAAAGGCCCCTGTGGTACGCGCGCGGGCACCGGGACTTCAGGCGGAAACGCGCCGGACTGTGGCCCGAAACCTTAAAGCCCTTCAAAAGATACTGAAATCTACTGCTTGTTGCCGCCGGGCTCTAAGTGTCGCCCAGCGAGTGCCCACTGTGAAGCTCAGTGCCTAAAGAACCATGCAATCTACACTCACTTCCCTCAACCTACACCAAGGCTTAAACTCTAAGTCCTCTCCTCAACCTAAACCCGAAGCCGTAAACTCTAAGTCCTCCGAGACCCCATCTTTTCTGAAGCCTTTTGAAGCGCACCTCGGCCTTGCCGGCTTCTGCGGCTGAAGTGTCCCCTGCACAGACTCCCGGGTTTCAGGTTTCAGCACTCAGAACATTTTTTGCCTCCTACTTAGCAAGGACGAGCCCGCATTGCAGGGTACACTCAGAACATTAGGGTTGAGGGTTTAGGGGACTTCCGGGTTCCAGGTTTAGGGCTTCGGGGGTTCAGGGCTTCAGTGATCCAGGGGGCTTATTATAGGGCTTCGGGGGAAGCAGCTCAAGGACTAACACATGTCAATTTTAGGGTTTAGGCACTCGGAGGGGATACTCTTACTAGGTATTCAACCTCGAAATAAGGATCCCGTGCGGTTGGAGCAGAACCAAGGCCTCGCAAGGCTGCCTGAAGAGCTCGGACGCGCCCCTCTTCCTCGGCCAAGAGCCTGTTCCCAGACAGGCACAGTGGTCTGGAAAGGATTCTTAAAAGGGTTCTGAAAGGGATTCTTTAACAGGTCCTGCAAGGGCTCAAGGGCCTCAGGCCGAAATCCTTACAATAAGTGCTGGGGTTTGTCTTTGCGGATCAGGCTTGTAGCAGCCCCATAGTCAAGAGGCTCCACAGCGACTGGGGGAATCCCCAATCAGAGTCGCTATACAAGAGATCCTTATAATCCTGCCCACCTTCATTCAGACCCCTCATATGGACCACAGCTTTCCAAAAAAGTGTCTAGCCTCGATCGGCACTCCGACCCTGCACCCCAAACATCCCCAAACCCTAAAGCCTATCGCCGGAACCTTTACAAAACCCGAAAAAGCTGCAAAAACTTGGTGCCCTCAGCGGATCTCCTCGCACCTGGCGAGGCGAGCACGCTCCTGCTCGGCGCGCCGCTTCTCCGCCTGTCGCGGAGCCGAGCATGCCCTAAGAAAGGGTTTAGGATTTAGGGTTTAGGGTAAAGTTAAGCTCTTTTCCAGACTCTTTTCCTCCTCGCCAGGGTTTAGGGCCGTCAAACAGGTCTGCACATGTATGCTGCCCGTGGCAGTGGTACAATGCACTTTACAGGAACGAGTCCCAATTCAAAGAGGCCCGAACAAAATCAAATGATGCTCCGAATGCTACGGTCTCAAGTTGTGCAACAATGGAGGAACAAATTCAAAAGCACACCGCCTCCGCCCTGCGGAGCTGCTCCACCTGAGGCCATGGTCCAAAGTCTCTCATGGAAGCGCGTGTGGCGACGGTTCAGAGCCCTGAGTGTGTCAAAAACCCTCCTCCGCAGACTTATCCTGGCTCCTCAACTGTTGCCCTCTCCCGCTTGAATACGGCCCAGTGGCATGAGGGGTGGAGCCCCCGACGCCGGTGAAGTGCAGGCCCCGCTGTTCCATAGCAATCTGCAATTGGGACAAGCGGAAGGTATTCAGATCCCTGCACCAGTAGTTCTAGCTAGTCACGGCCGGAGCAGCAGCGGTCGTCGTCGTAGAAGCCGTCGTCGTCGTCGTCGCGATGGTAGTAGCAGCGGCAGCAGTGGCAGCAGCAGTAGCAGTAGCACTAGCCCTTGCATTTGCGCCGGCGCTAGCAATAGCACTAGCAGTAGCACTGGCAGCAGCACTAGCAGTAGCACTAGCAGTAGCACTGGCAACAGCACCAGCAGTAGCACTAGCAGTAGCACTAGCAGTAGCACTAGCAGTAGCAGTAATAGTCGTCGTCGTAATAGTAGCAGCAGTACGAGCAGAACTAGTAGAGTAGTAGCAGCCGTCGTCGTCGTCGTAGTAGTCGTAGTAGCAGTACCAGCAGCAGTAGTAGTAGTAGTAGTAGTAGTAGTAGTAGTAGTAGTAGCAGTAGCAGTAGTAGTAAGTCGTCGTCGTCGTCGTCGTCGTCGTCGTCGTCGTCGTCGCAGTCGTAGTCGTAGTCGT